ATTGCCTGTTCAGAAGTGTATCTGAGTAGCTACCAGCAATCTTTCCTCAGAGCAGGCACATGACCTCACATGCATGCTGGCTGATTGCTGTCAGATTTACTGGAGACAAAAGGAGATATTTCACTAAAGGGCAAATGCCAGGAGCTACAAAGATCTGCCACAGGGCCTCACTGGAAGGGACAGGTTTTCCCTCTGATTGCAAAGATTGTTTCACAAGGTCTTTTCCCTCCTTCCTCAATGAATGCATCTCTAGGGGCTGTCAGGCCCAAAAAACAGAAAAAGAAATGTGGTGGCCTCTAAGGAGATAAGCATCAGCAACACTGCTGATGTGACAAACAGGGAGCAGAAACAACCCCTGAGAGCCTGGTCCTGCTGGAGGGCACTTCCCTGCAGCAGCAGCAGCAGAGCTGAAGGTGAGAGGCTGCAGGAGCACCCAGGTGTGGCAGGAAGGTGCTGCTGGGGCTGACCTGTGTGCTGATACCTCCATCAAAGGTAACCCCACACCCCTTCTGAACATCAGAAGGGAAGCAAAAAACTTCACAGATTTTAAGACAAGCTATGGAAAGCAGCACTGGTGGAAAAAAAAGGTTCCACACAAATAGCTTGTTTTATAAAATTCAGCTTGGTAATGCCCCTGTCAGACAGCTGGGCACAAAGCATGTCCTAACATGTTGAGAGCTTTGAAATTTGTTATAAATTATGTCTCAATGCATCCTGGCTTTCAAAGCATTACAGCAACAAAAGCTGGCCAAAGGAACAGCATTGCTGCAGCCCCTCCCACATGCACTGCACACCTACGAGGTATCAGGAAAAAAACAACTTAATGACAACCACCCCAGAATTATAGTTTGTAACTCTGGTTGTTCTCTTAAGGCAGACAACTGCTTTATCTGAGCAGCATGAATTGAGGCTTTGACCCTCTGTTGTTTGTTCCTCTTTCCTTGGGTCCATGGCTAACTGCTCTCTTTACAGCACGTTTCTATAGTGACCAGCTGCTGAACTGATACTCAATATATTTCACTTTTCACCCGCCATACTTCAGATTTGGAAACTCAGAATGTTATTTAAACAATATTCTGAAAACTTGCCCTCAGGCTGTAGTAAGAGATGGCACAGTGGATACTTCATCACTCTAACTTCCCTAGCTCTTGAAAAACAAATAAATGCACCATTTATAGATGAAAGAAAAGTTATCACAGCTCAGTAACAATTACTTGAGAAGCCAATATATAAGGGATCAGGAAGAAACAAATTCCCAATATCTCAGAGAAGTACCAGACTCCTCCTTTCAAGCAAGCATTTAATTTCTCCAGCAGCTTTTTTATTGTGCCTCAGTTGTATTAAGAGCACTTTGCCTCAAGTTCAACCCCTTCCTAGAGTAACAACCAGGACAGCTTTTACAGGAGGATAAAGCACTGTGGTCCCCAAAGGAGACAGGAGCCCATTTTTAAACCCATCTGGCAATGAATCATCCTCTCAAGACAAAGACTAAAACATTAAGAGGGGAATACAGTAGGTAGAAGTAATGCAGAAACAATTTCATAAACTCAGCTGGTTCAAGTTTTACACATGCAAATAAACATTATGAGAGGAGAAACAAGAATGAGATGTGAAGTACTGAGCAGGAAGATCAGGTGTATTTATCTTCCTGGAAGCTGGAAGATATTAAACTGTGCTTTCTCCTACATTGCTGCTGCCAGTTATTGACAAAGTTGTCAATTATCCAGGATTATTTAGACTGATGATACCTGAAGAAATGAGGATTTAGAAACACTTGGGACTAAAAGGGGAGATAGGAATGCCCTGCAGATGATAAATGGAGTGGATTGAAAGAAAAAAGAGCAGAGAGACAGTTTCAGAGGGTATAATTAAATATCCTTAATTAGAATATTACACTACTACAGTGAAACTAACTTTCAAAGCTGGATTTTAGAAAATAAATATAACTGAGTGGATGAAAGACTAAGACCCTTCTACACCATAAGACTGCCATAGAATTTATTCAGATAACTTCTATTTTGCTAATGTTTAAATAACGTAATTATACTTTAAAATTGCACTGACTGTGCAGGTCTGCAAGCAGACAGATAGTAAATCACCATTAGATGGATTTTACTGAAATTGGTCAGACCATGCATTAAGGAATGAGGACAGTGCTTGATTTCAATAGTTGAGTAATCATGTAGCTTAATGCACATGGATAAAGCAGGTACCAACAGGTATGTAAGTTATGTAGCAACAGGGACAACGTTTTTAAATTGGTCCAGGAATAAGAATTTATTTAGAGCAGGGATTTGTAAAGCATCTTGAAATTCTTGGAAGAAGCTTGTTACAACATCACAAAGCCCTACTCTATGAAAACATACTCTGCTGGAGTAAGGGACACTTGCTACCACGATTTTTTCAATAGAATGAAAGATATTTTACCATGTTCGTGAAGAGACAGTTGCCAGGTTAGGATTTCAATGCAACACTTGCAGGAGACAGGCCTAAAGCCCAGTTTTGGCATTGTTTGGACACACAAGTTTCTCAGCTCTTCTCTATCTCTCTTATATACAATGTGTCAGAGTTGAGACAGACACAATACAGAGTATCACCACACAATTTCAGAAAGCTTCAATCTATACAGAGTAACACCTTACCGCCTCAGAAGGCTTCAAGTATCTGCCCAGGCACAGTAACATCCTGCAACTTCAGAAGGCTTCAAGTGTCTGCTCTTGTTCTTTAGCCACACCTTTCATCCCCTCATGTTGATGCCCTGCACCTGTGTGCCCTCTGTTCCTGTGTGGTTGGTCAGTGCCCCTGGGCACTCCATGGCTCAGTGCTGCTCACAGCTGTGCCCACTGGGGATGAGGCTGGGCCAGCCCCACTCCCATCACCACAAACAGGGGACCTACAGCAATGGAGCAGCAGTTCCACCCTCCCAGGCTTCCTAAATCCACAGCCAAGGTATCAGGGATACAATTGATATAGGGATGTACAGCACAAAAACCATTGACATAAGAGACTGTCAGATATGATTCTGGCAACACCCCAGTGTTACTTATACAACCATTCCAAAATAATTTTGGTTACTCACATTACATAAATTGCATATTATCAGGGTTTATTTGCCACACTATCAGGAATTCAAGTTACTTTCATTGATCAGGAAGAACAGATGCAGAATGGCAGCTGAAGGTGTTTAGGAAAGGTGAAGAAGCCAAGCAGAAGCCAGCAAAAACCCAGGCAGATCATGCTGACAAGACAGAGAGGGCATTGAAACACTAAATTGGCTATTTCAGGTAATCATCACTGAAGATCAATGTACTTCAGACTGTATCTGTCCACACAGCTCCTCCCTGTCTGTCTGAAGTCACAGGGAAGTGTAATGAAATACATTATTTGAAAAAACTATATAAGCTTTAAAAAAATTTACAATGGCTGTTGCAGCAGCCAATTCCAAATATAATTTATAAATACAGAATTCCTCAGTCTTTTTATTGCCATTTTCTACTTATCATAAGTAGAAAAGTTCAGGAAATTAAAGGAAAAATCCCCACCAACAAACCACTAACACTTCATCTTGGTTTGCTCAGCCTTAATTTTTCTGCAAGACAAGGCACCCCTCTGCTGGGCAAGAGCAGATCTAGCAGCAGGGAGGGGTGAACCAAAACTGATAGAACAGTAAAATAAAATCAGCCTGTACAGAATGAAAAGATATATAAGGAAAGGGGCTCATGTGTGTACCATTAAACAAACAATTCAGAATTTAGACTTATTTCTCCAGAAAGTAACATTTTTCATAGTATCTTTAAAATTAGTCACCTTGAAGGAACTGCCATCCTGCAAAACACCAGTTCTCTAACTCCAAAAGCAACTGCAATATTTACAATAACAGGACATTGAAAGAGTTCCCTAAAGTGAAAGACTTTTGCCCAAGAAAAAGCTGAATTATGAGCCACGAAGCCTTACTGCATCAATCTGGCAATGCATCAGCATGAATACTTATGTATTCATAACATTGTTTTCCAGGAGAATGTATGATAAACCTTAAGCAAACCTTCAGAATAGTTCATCTTTTTTCCTTTAGCCATTACTTTCTTTTTAACATGACAACCACAGGACAAATACAGGACAATTTCAGACATCAGCAGTGATGCAGAGGAAAAAAAAAGACCTACCAGAATCATGTGTGGTATCACACATCTTTGGGAAATGTCAGGTAAATCCTCCTCTGACCTCTGAAGCATGATAGAGAAGTTCAGCCTTTTTCTCATCAGCCCTGAAACTGGAGTATAGTTGCCCATTTTGTTTCAGACTTCTTGTTTTGTTGTGTTCTACAAATGACTCAGCTCTGTTCTCTAGGGGTTGCACTACTACTCATTTTTAGACCAAGGAAAGATTATAAAAAAAGGCAGTTTCAAAGTAGCATTCTATGAAGACATTTCTAGGAAACAACTCTTTTTTTGTTAAAAACATTAACACAAACCAAAGCTTGATAATACTTTTTGCCCCTTTTATTAAAAACAGTCATTACAGGTGACATACAATTGGCAAAGATACATATGACCAAATCTCTACTTTTAAGGAAATATTTACAGATTATTACAAAGTGACCCCACGTGTGCAATGACCAGGTCCTGTGCTGGTTTTTCACACTGAAATCTTCTGGTTTTCTTTCAGCTGCTCAGGAGATTCTACTTTCAGTTTGTCTGTGTGATCAACAACAGCACACTGGCTTCAAAAGACATTTATTTTAGATATCTATAAGTGCCCACAGTGAAAAGCTCCTCCTGCTGTGAGATATCAGACAGAAGAGTCTCTTTTATGTCTCTGCCATCCAGGTTTGTCCTTTTGTACCACTTCCCACATGGAGAGCTGTCACTCCAAGCCCCTCGCTGTGTTAACCAACATTTGCTCCACTAAAAAAATTTCCTAAACCATTTGTTTAGGGACCAGGAAAGAGGACAAATCTTACCCATAGGAAACCATCCAGAGCAGAAGGAAGTCTGCAGTGACAGTTTTCTAACCAAACCTACAGAAAACCTTCAACTGTACAGCACCTATATTAACAAGGGGAGGGGAAAGAAGTATCTTCCTGTAGTTATTACCCACACTCTCAACAGCATTGCATCAAGTAAGAAAGAATATCAGTCCATGTACCAGGATGCTTTTTCCTATTTCCTGCTCTTGTTTTAGGTCAGCTGGAAGCTTCTTTTTTCAGTTTTTCTAAAATCTCATCTGGTGTCGCTGATACCGAAATCTTCAGCACTTTGTCCCGTGATTTACCCCCCTGGTTTAGACACACACAGAAAAAACTCATCTTTCAGAGAATCACCCTTTAGGGTAAGAAAAGAGTGCAATTCATAAAATGCTGATCAACAAATGAAGCAGTTTGCCCATGATTCAGGAAAAACAAGACTCACATCTTTTTTTCTCTACCTTTTCACAACATTTCCTTGGTCATCTTATCCTTTACTATTAGTCTTTAAAAGACTTCTATAACTACTCCATTAAACCAACAGATAAAAATAAAAAGCACCATTTTTCATTGTGCTCTTGTGCTTATAAACTATAAATGAAAATGGCTGGAAACACTGACTTCAAGTACAATGAATTAATAAAACAAATTATTTATTCAGTGAAATGAATAAAACAAAGAGTTTCTGCTCACCAGTCAAGACATGTAAATTCTAATACAGAGAAACTCTTGAGGCCTAGCTACAACCCAAGTGCTTACATATGCTCTTGCTTATGTGTGACAGTTAAATGTCAGAATCAAATACACAAGTTATTTTAAAAAAAGTGAAAATTTAATAAAATGCACATTCTCTGCAGAACACAAATTCTGTGAACTCATTTGACATGAAAACAAGAGAATCTTGAAGAACGCAGAAAACACGAACTACAGAGATTTGCAAAACATTATCATGATAACCCCTCTGGTTAAAAGATGTCAAGATCAGCCATAGTTCTTCCCACACTAAGTTTGTTCTCAATGAATCATTCCATTAACTCAACTAAACTTTTTAAAGTGTCTTTCAAACTGAACTTGGAATAGCTCCCTGTATTCAAAGTGTAAGTTTCAAAATCTTGAATTTCAACTGCAGTATGGTAAAGCTGAAAGGAAAAAAAGGAAATACCTTCTCTAAAACAACGTCACTCTTCTTCACTTCAAGCACCTTAGCGAGGTAGCGGCACAGCTCTGCATTTGCCTCCCCTTCCGACGGAGGTGCAGCAATAGCTACACCTACTGCCTCAGCCGTCACATCTATAGCAAATAGTTGAAGGATTTTATGCTCAAAATATTCAAAACATCACATCATAGTTTCTTAAAAATGAACGTTTATGCTTTCAAAAGCATTTTGATTTAAAACGGAGTAAATGCATAGATTAGCAGGTGATGGCATTTTCACATTTCATGAATTCCCTTGACTATCGGCCAGTACAATCAAATATAAACTCCTGACAATACAAGCAGTGATTGTGGCCAGTCCTGCCTGGCCCCATGTAACACGACTCAAATCAGGTTACCCCTGCCCAGCCCCAAAAGCCGCTTGTTGAGCCAGTCTGGTCAGAGAGTCAGGCTGTCAGTACATTCCCAGTATATTCCTAAGGGGCCTGGACACTGCCACAGCCCGTGGGTACTGCACACACGGGGGATGTCAAAGCAGTCCCAATGCAGGAGCAAGGCCAGGGCTTTAGAGGGACAACACGTTTTATTAGACCCAACTTTTGTGGTTCTAATAAGACCGCACAGACCCTTGAGACACAAACGGCCTGCACGAAACCACGGATGCCAAACGGAAGGATTTAGGACCAGGATTTACCCCGGGCTCACCGCGCCACCCAGCGCTGTACACAGGGGAGAGCCGAACTCCTCGCTTCAGTTTCCGGGCGGGATTTTGCGCTTTCCCTCCCTCCGCCCCTGTTCCTCAGGGCGCAGCGAGGCAGGGCCCGGTGCCCCGGCCCGCAGACCCACCTGTGACGGCGCTGCAGCGGGCACCGGGCTTGGCGCGCACCGCCACCCTCACGGAGCCGCCGCCCGCCGCCGCCACCGGTCCCGCGGCGGCGCCCGGCTCGGCGGGGCCCTTGGCGGCTGCTTTTCCCTGAAACAGAGGAACAGGCGCGGTCACCGCGGGCACCACCCGCCCCTGCCCCCCTTCCCTCTCCTGGCCCTGCCCGCACCTTCCCGGGCATAGCCCCGCCGCTCCGCACCGGCGCCGCCCGCACCCGCAGGAACCCAGCGAGGCTCGGCATGGCCGGGGCGGCCCTTCCGGCAACCGCGCCGGGCCCGCCCCGAGGCGCCTGCGCGCTCCGCACGGCCCGGCCGGGCCGGCCGTGGGCCCTCAGCGGCTGCTCCGGCACAGCCTCACCCTGCGCCCTCAGCGGCTGCTCCCGGCCGGGCCGGCCCTGTGCCCGCAGCGGCTCCTCCGAGCTCTGCGCCCGCGGCGGCTGCTCTGGCACAACCGAGCTCTGTGCCCTCAGCGGCTGCTCCGGGACAGCCGAGCTCTGTGCCCTCAGCGGCTGCTCCGGGACAGCCTCTCCCTATCTCTCCCACACGGGCCGGCCGAGCCCCGTCTCTGTCCCGGCACAGCCCCGTGTCCGGGGACAGGAGAGCGCTGGCGGAGTGTGCACAGAGCCGGACGTTTGACAGACACTTGTTCTACACACAGCCTTTGGACACCCCAAACCTTCGTGACCTCCCCATTTTCACCCTTAAGAAAGGAAATGTTCTTATTTTTTCTCCTGCATTCTTAAATTTTAGTATGACGTGGGAGAGGGTACAGGTCTTTGTACACCAAGCCATTCTGTTACTACATGGTACATACTGCAAAGACTGCAAAGCACTGAATACTATATACATACAGCATTTGCATCAAATGATTGTATGCAATCTGTAAAACTCCTTGCACACCAATAATCCTTAGATTTATACTCATTTTTTTAGTATTAGACTATCCAGTGATAAAATAACATCATTACAAGTCTCGTATTCTCATTTTCACATTATACATCTTTTATAGGCACATATGTATATATACAGTGGCTATTTGCATAACCAGTTCTATATTCCAAAACAGCCCTTCTGAATTAAGAGAGATTCGGGAAAGATCTGTTTCTTGCTGAATTTGACTTGATATTTATTTCTTCAGTGCTGCTGCAGATGTTCTCTGCAGTGCAAAGTCCATTAATTCTCCATGGCTCTTGGAAAAAGTCAAGATGATGACAACATGAATGCAGCTTTGCTGACGTACTTCAAAAAAATACAGTAGCAATCCATGTCCATAGGGTCAATCCAAGGTCATTTTGGAAAGAAGTGCAAGATGGGACTACAGCAGCAGCTTTACTGTCTTTTAAGGACAGATTGGAGAAAACATACAAGTTGTTCATAACAAGTAAGGATTTTCCAGTTCAAAAAATGAATTTTACTACATGAGAAACAAAGGGGTGAAAACACAAAGTAATTAACCACAAGGTACTACTTAAAACAAACTTTTCAATATACAGAGTACTTATTCCATTAACATTTTGTTTAGAGGAAAAACTAAATTACAATCTACCAATAACGATGCGGAAAAAAATAGCTTTTCTGGTACCCCTCAAACAAATTAGTTTTTCTTTTTACACATTAAAGTAATTTAACAGAATTTTTTTAACTGCTGCCAATAGTGAGCTGAAGTCCACTGAGACACCAACACATTCCAGATCATCATGTGAAACTAAGTATAAAATATTATTTCTGGTATCTGTCCATCTTCTATTGATGTACCATTGTTGTTACCTGGTGAACTATAAAAGACAAAGCATGTTTTGCTAGCAGTAGGAGATTCATGGATCACTTTCTTCAAACCTTTTGTTCCATAGTGGGAATCAGGACCCTGAAAAGCATCACAAGAGATTAGCAACAGAATGGAAGTGGGCAGGACCCAAAAATTGCTGATGGTCAAACAAAACTGACTTGGGCTATTTTAGTAGTATAAAATTTCTGTACCCACATCATATAAATAAAATCACAGGCAACAGAAGCAAGGGCCTATGTCTAAATAACAAAAATATATTTTTCTGACAGCAGACTTAAACCAGTTGATTTTATCCAACTAGTAATGAATACTTTCTAGTATTTCTCCTTATCACACAGGTTGCCTGTATTCTTACTTAGTTCCCTGACTCAGCTGCTTTTTATGTGCAGTATTTTCCAACCCACCAAACTCTGATTTCTGTATAGGAAATTATATTTAGAAGAACATTAAAATTTTTTGAGAAATAAATTTGTCCGCAACACTAAGAGGAGACTTTCTGAGAACAAGTAATTCTTGCTATTATTTCAGCACCAGTATATAAAAAGAGATGAAAAAAGCTGTTTCCTTGAATTTAGCTAGTGGTTAGAATATCCTTGATAAAAGAAATCAAACTTAAATTCTGATAGAGAGCTGCCAGATTATGTTTTCTAGATAGTGCTTTTTTCCCACACAGAACCAGTGACCTCCATTAGAACTATTCTAACTCCTACATCAAGCAAAAAAGTGGGAAGGCACAAAGGATCCACTTATGAATTCCATGCTGTGGCCCAGAAGAGATGTAACAGTCTTACAAATTACAGCAGAGTTCTAACTGCGTCCTTCTTTAGCCCTAAAGTTAAAATAAATGCAAGATTTAGAAGACATTTTCCCATCAGAAGACTGATAAAAGAATAACTCTTGCATCAAAGTAACCCTTTCTTCTGTCCTGTTAGACATTCTTACTTTCAAGGTTGCACAAGCTGTGTAGCAAACTGTGGGCAGGATCTCTATGGGCTCCTTGAACATAACTCTGAAGGTGCTGGCTGTTCCATCACAGCTGAATCCAGTGTCGTTCTGTCCCAGCGTCTGGTTCTTCTCATAATCAATTATCTGGGAAAAAGCAGGAACATTGTAGCTTTATGGATCTTTATGGCATGAGAAAGGCTCTGATTGCATGCACGTGAGAAGGTTACAAGCAAACACTTGCCTACCCCACCCAGCCTAATGCAAGGACAGTGCAACCCCAGCTGGAAGGGAGCTGTGATTTCCTGACAGCCCTGGAGCTGACACAGCAGCTCGGAATGATGGCTCTGGGCACTGCTCCAGCCAGGTGAAAGTCTGTGCTTGGGAGATGGAGAACAGCTCTCACACCTCCAGCTCCTGACCTGCATATACAACATCTAATCCTTAGGTTTGCTGATCTCTGTACACCTTCACAGCCCACATGAGGGAATCTCATTTGCTGCCTGTGGCTAGTTTAGAAAACAAGTTTTTACAGATAATGTCAGCAGTCTATGACACCTTCATAAAAGAAAACAAAAACTTGTGCTGTTATGTTTTATACAATTTATTTCCAATCTTGATTCAGTATAAAAATTTTACTCAGATTTTTTATTTTGCCTTCACACACAATGTTTATTTTGCCTTCAATTTCAGTGGTGAGTAAGAATCACTAGTTCCAGTGTAGTAATAGCACAGGGTAAAACTGTGCCAGTCATGGAATCCTAAGATCTTGCTAAAAAGCTTAGAATCTAAACAAAACTAATCTCTACAAGAAAAATAATTCAAATAGACTGAAATTCCACTCAAAATGGAAAAAAAATATAGTGCTGGATCAATACTCCTAGAAGACAATCCTGACCACAACATGCTGAGGGATCTAACAGGCTACAAGAGTAAGAAATATGATTTTAGTGGTGTCTTCAATTGCCTGCTGGGACAGGGCAAGGGTCACATCAGGACATGAAGCAGGGGGACATTTTTAGATGCTATCACTGGCCACTTCATGAGCCTGCTAACCAATTGCTCAGCAGGAAGAAACGCAACCCTTGATTTGGTACTGAGTGATGAGCAGGATCAGATTCAAAATTTCATAATGGAAACACTATGTAACAGTGTCCATAATGTACTGAGAGTCAACACTCCCACATGAACAACAAAAGCAAATCCCCCACAGCTGTGCTAAACTTCAAAAAGAGAAAAATGAGGAGGCTTGTTCAAAAGAAACTAAAAGGAACAATTACGAAAATCAAATCTCTGTAAGAAGCACACAGGCTACTGAAGAACATAACATTCCCAAGTACAATATCAGTACATATTTCCTATTAGGAAAGGCTTGAGAAAAGAGGAAAAAAGCTGGCTGTTGAGAAACACCTACACTGAAAATGATTGAAGGACAGGAGAATACAGGAGAAAGGGAGCAGAGTTCCACAGTGTTCTTTTGCCTAATCACCCACTTATGCCCACTTGTGACAAAACACAGCTTAGACTCCTGGCCTGTCAATTGCTCCCTCCCAAATACAGACCAAAGCTTCTGCAAGTGCTACAAGTGTAGCTTCCTTTTGCAAGTCCCTACACATGTACAAGCCTATTTAAACATAATATAGTGTACCTGTATATTAACTTGATAATCTGTGGGTCCATGAATAGATCCATATAATCCAAATCCCACTATGGAAATTCTTCTGTTAACTGTGAACCTGATAAGACACAAGAAAGGAATTCAAATAACTCTGGTGAGTGTGTTAGCTTATTTCAAGTAGGAAAAAGACTCCCACTGAAGTGTAGGGAAGTAAACTGAGAATGGCATTGCATTTTTTTTTAAATTGCATTTTTTGTTTAGATTTCAATACTAAGAAAAATGCTTTGCCAGCTTCACAGCTTAAAGCTTTGCTAATTCCTCAAGATATTCAGCATTAATAAACAAAACATAACCAGATTCTTTTCAGTATCTCCAAAATGAAAACAGATCAAGACTTGGTATTTCAAAAAGAAATATACAGATAACACCCAATCATTCTAGAATGCACCCAATCCTCCTGAACCTCATTCTTGTTTTTATCTCATGGGTGTAATAGCTAAAAAAAAATGGAAAAGATCAAATGTGTGCAACAGGGCCAGCATGTCTGCTACTGTATCTTATACCAAAGAGTCAGAGTTGAATGATTTGTTCCCTTTCTCCCCACCCATTTCTGTCTCCCCTCCACAGAGTTTCTGAAGCCCCACCTGATGCGGTCGCTGGTTCCGCTGTAGCCCCAGCGACTCTCCACCTGCTGGAACCTGTTTATGCTGCACTCTTTTCCTCTAAGGCAACACCTGGGTCGGTCAATATAATCAACTTTAGGCTTGGGATTGACAGTAAAGTGCAGAAAGAGATTTACTACTTCCCGATCCGACAAGATTCCAGACTGAGCAGGGCCTGTGAAAACATAAAACTCGTAAAATGATTCGAAGGATTACTCCAGCTGTTGTATTTAA